CGACAGATAACAACTTTTGCGTTTTTCAATGATGATAGTTTCTTAAACAACTTTTTTGGTGGAGTCTCCCGCTATTGTCAGTAACTGCTTAACGTCATACGCATGATGACGACATAGCTATTACCGTTATATGTCGCCTATGACGACACTCAGCTTTCATTGTACACCTGAAGAGCCGTTGAACGGCGAAAGATCTTGTGCAGATATAAAGGAGATTTGACAAGAAGAAATATCTGGACTCATATGTTATATATTTATTGCTTATACACCTGCAGAAATCACTTGTTTATATACATATTATCTATCTGCCTGCCTACACATCTGCCTTCCCACCTTCCTACCTGTCTGTCTATCTGCATACCTGTCTATCTATCTATTATCAGTCTATCTACCTACCTGTCTGTGTATCTACCTATCTATCTACCTATCTATCTATGTACTTACTGTCTGTCTGTTGGTCTATCTACCAACCTACCTACCTGTCTATCTATCCATCATCTACCCGTCTATTTATCTATCTATCTAACTGTCTATCTATCGACCTGTCTATCTCTCTCTCATCTATATAGCTAGCTAGCTGTCTATCGATATATCTACCTTTGTGTCTGTCTATCTACCTGTCTATCTATCTATCTATCTACCTGTCTATCTGTCTATCTACCTGTCTATGTATGTATCTATCTATCTGTCTATCTATCTACCTACCTACCTGTCTATCTATCTAACATCTGTCTATCTGTCTATCGACCTACCTATCTATCTATACAACCATCTGTCTATCTATCTATCTACCTATCTATATATCCATCTATATAACATCTGTCTATCTATCTACCTATCCATCTATCTATACAGCCATCTGTCTATCTATCTATCTATCTATCTATATGACCATCTGTCTATCTATCTATCTATATAGCCATCTGTCTATCTACCTATCTATCTATCTATACAGCCATCTGTCTATCTATCTATCTATCTATCTATATAGCCATCTGCCTATCTACCTACCTATCTATCTATACAACCATCTGTCTATCTATCTATCTACCTACCTATATATCCATCTATATAACATCTGTCTATCTATCTACCTATCCATCTATCTATACAGCCATCTGTCTATCTATCTATCTATCTATCTATATAACCATCTGTCTATCTATCTATCTATATAGCCATCTGTCTATCTACCTATCTATCTATCTATACAGCCATCTGTCTATCTATCTATCTATCTATCTATCTATCTATATAGCCATCTGCTTATCTACCTATCTATCTATCTATACAGCCATCTGTCTGTCTACCTATTTATCTATACAGCCATCTGTCTACCTAACTATCTACCTATCTATATATCCATCTATATATCCATCTGTCTATCTACCTATCTATCTATCTATACAGCCATCTGTCTATCTATCTATCTATATAGCCATCTGTCTATCTACCTATCTATCTATCTATACAGCCATCTGTCTATCTATCTATCTATCCATCTATCTATCTATCTATCTATCTATACAGCCATCTGTCTATCTATCTATCTTTCTATCTATACAGCCATCTGTCTATCTATCTATCTATCTATATAGCCATCTGTCTATCTATCTATTTATCTATCTATCTGTATAGCCATCTGTCTATCTACCTATCTATCTATACAGCCATCTGTCTATCTATCTATCTATCTACCTATCTATATATCCATCTATATAGCCATCTGTCTATCTACATATCTATCTATCTATACAACCATCTGCCTATCTATCTATATAGCCATCTGTCATTCTACCTACCTATCTATCTATCTATACAACCATCTGTATATCTTTCTATCTATATATCCATCTATATAGCCATCTGTCTATCTACCTATCTATCTATCTATACAGCCATCTGCCTATTTATCTATCTATATAACCATCTGTCTATCTATCTATCTATCTATCTATCTATCTATCTATCTATCTATCTATCTAGCCATCTGTCTGTGTATCTATCTACCTATCTATATATCCACCTGTATAGCCATCTGTCTCTCTACCTATCTATCTATACAGCCATCTGTCTATATATCTACCTATCTATCTATCGATCTATATAGCCATCTGTATATCTACCTATCTATCTATCTATCTATACAGCCATCTGTCTGTCTATCTATCTATCTATCTGTCTATCTTTCTATCTATATAGCCATCTGTCTATCTATCTATCTATGTAGCCATATGTCTATCTATTTATCTATCTATCTATCTACCTATCTATATATCCATCTACATAGCCATCTGTCTATCTACCTATCTATCTATACAGCCATCTGTCTATATATCTACCTATCTATCTATCTATCTATCTATCTATCTATATAGCCATCTGTCTATCTATCTATCTATCTATCTATATAGCCATCTGTCTATCTACCTATCTATACAGCCGACTGTCTATCTATGTATCTACCTATCTATATATCCATCTATATAGCCATCTGTCTATCTACCTATCTATCTATCTATACAGCCAACTATCTGTATATCTTTCTATCTACCTATCTATATATCCATCTATATAGCCATCTGTCTATCTACCTATCTATCTATCTATACAACCATCTGTCTGTCTATCTATCTATCTATCTATCTATCTATCTATCTATCTATCTATATGTTATCTCTGTCTATCTATCTATCTATCCATCTATATGTCTATCTATTCTGTCTATCTATCTATCTATACAGCCGATCTGTCTATCTATGTATCTACCTATCTATATATCCATCTATATAGCCATCTGTCTATCTACCTATCTATCTATCTATACAACCATCTGTCTATCTATCTATCTATCTATCTATATATCTGTCTGTATAGCCATCTGTCTCTCTACCTATCTATCTATACAGCCATCTGTCTATATATCTACCTATCTATCTATCGATCTATATAGCCATCTGTATATCTACCTATCTATCTATCTATCTATACAGCCATCTGTCTGTCTATCTATCTATCTATCTGTCTATCTTTCTATCTATATAGCCATCTGTCTGTCTCTATCTATCTATGTAGCTCATCTATATAGCATCTGTCTGTCTATCTATTTATCTATCTATCTATCTACCTATCTATATATCCATCTACATAGCCATCTGTCTATCTACCTATCTATCTATACAGCCATCTGTCTATCTATCTATCTATCTATCTATCTATCTATCTATCTATCTATCTATATAGCCATCTGTCTATCTATCTATCTATCTATCTATATAGCCATCTGTCTATCTACCTATCTATACAGCCGACTGTCTATCTATGTATCTACCTATCTATATATCCATCTATATAGCCATCTGTCTATCTACCTATCTATCTATCTATACAACCATCTGTATATCTTTCTATCTACCTATCTATATATCCATCTATATAGCCATCTGTCTATCTACCTATCTATCTATCTATACAACCATCTGTCTGTCTATCTATCTATCTATCTGTCTATCTTTCTATCTTTATGGCCATCTGTCTATCTATCTATCTATCTATCTATGTATGTAGCCATCTGTCTATCTATTTATCTACCTATTTATCTACCTATCTATATATCCATCTATATAGCCATCTGTCTATCTATCTATATATCTATCTATCTATACAGCCATCTGTCTATCTACCTATCTATCTATCTATACAGCCATCTGTCTATCTATCTATCTATACAGCCATTTGTCTATCTATCTATCTATCTATCGATATAGCTATCTGTCTATCTATCTATCTATACAGCCATCTGTCTGTCTATCTATCTATCTATCTATATAACATCTGTCTATCTATCTATCTATCGATCTATATAGCCATTTGTCTATCTATCTATTTATCTATCTATATAGCCATCTGTCTAACTATATATCTACCTATCTATATATCCATCTATATAGCCATCTGTCTATCTACCTATCTATCTATCTACACAGCCATCTGTCTATCTATCTATCTACCTATCTATCTATTCAGCCATCTGTCTATCTATCTACCTATCTATATATCCATCTATATAGCCATCTGTCTATCTACCTATCCATCTATCTATACAGCCATCTGTCTATCTATCTATCCATCTATATAGCCATCTGTCTATCTACCTATCTATCTATCTATACAGCCATCTGTCTATCTATCTATCTATCTATCTATCCATCTGTCTATCTACCAATCTATCTATCTATCTATACAGCCATCTGTCTATCCATCTATCTACCTATCTATATATCCATCTATATAGCCATCTGTCTATCTATCTATCTATACAGCCATCTATCTATCTATCTAGCCATCTTTCTATCTACCTATCTATCTATCTATCTAACCATCTGTCTATCTATCTATCTATATGGCCATCTGTCTATCTATCTATCTACCTATCTATATATCCATCTATACGACATCTGTCCATCTGTCAATCTACCTATCTATCTATCTATACAGCCATCTGTCTCTCTATCTATCTATTTATATAGCCATCTCTCTATCTATCTATCTATATAGCCATCTGTCTATCTATCTATCTATCTATATAACCATCTGTCTATCTATCTATCTATCTATATAGCCATCTGTCTATCTATCTATCTACCTATCTATATATCATCTATATAACATGTCTATCTGTCTATCTACCTATCTATCTATACAGCCATCTGTCTATCTATCTATCTATCTATCTATATAACCATCTGTCTATCTATCTATCTATCTCTATATAGCCATCTGTCTATCTATCTATCTGAATACGCTTACGGTTAGCGTGGTCTTGTTTAAGTACAGTGTTTAGTTATAAAAACCGGGATTGGGGAGGAGGGCGCCATCACGTTTGTCATATGCAAGCGATACAGACAGGTCGCACTATAAATACTAGGTATATATTGTATGATTGTTCAGTCCCACGGACGCTGGCAACATGCGGTACAATGTTACACGGCAGAACATCACGTATACATTGAAATGTACAAGTAGTCCCCTTTGCTCTTTTGACCTACCAGAGTTCATATAATGTGACGTCACATTACCTTTGCAATACTCGAGGTCGTTGATTCACCTTGTGTGACTTTATACAGGAAACACGCTCTCTCCTGGCTGTGGACTGCTCCAGAGTGACACCCATCGAGTGGGGCGACCCGAATAAACGGCTTGAGTGACTAGGCGGAAACCATGACAGGCGAAGCGAGCCTCGACATCTAAAATGAGGAAAACCCTTCGCGAGCCAAGTGTCCTTGAGACTGTCAGCTGGCCGGGGAATCTATAAATGTTACATGCGGCGTGCCAGGTTTGTCGTGATATTACAAGTTGTACTTGAATACTCGATGTGAAACACACTATGACTTCCTTTTGAATCTTATAACAGGCAGGTATATGCTTGGTTGAAAGTAACCTTACTAAATGTATAATTGAAACGGGATAATGTATTGCTAACACACAGACTTGCTCTGGTTGATAATTATTGTTTTATGTAGAAATGCACATACACACATACTGCATATATACATGCTCACACACACATACATATATATATATATATCTAGATATAACTATATCCATATATATGTCTAATAAAGTGTGTATCTATATATATTATATATATGCTATGTTGTGATGTACAATATCTAGCTATCTAGCTATCTGTACTTCCAATTCTCTCTCTCTCTCTCTCTCTCTCTCTCTCTATATATATATATATATATATATGTGTATGTATGAGAGAGATGAGAGAGAGAGAGAGAGAGAGAGAGAGAGAGAGAGAGAGAGAGAGAGAGAGAGAGAGAGAGAGAGAGAGAGAGAGAGAGAGAGAGAGAGAGAGAGAGAGAGAGAGAGAGAGAGAGAGAGAGAGAGAGAGAGTAGCCTGCATGAGTAGATGAGACAATACAGAAATTGGTTACTTTATCAATACACAGCCATGTATAAGTGACAGTACTTCGGATTTAGTCTAGAAGATATCTGGAGCGTATTTTGCACATATTACCAGACAACATGACACGTTACAGTTCATTGTTTATTTCATTTGCATCTACATTTGCAAAACCTTCTTGGTATCTTCATCTATAATTTTCTTTTATAGGTTATCAACTACCAGTCACAATGAACGGGCATAGGGAAGAAGATATGGCTTACTTCCTTCCACGTAGTCTGTCGTATGTTCAGGATGGCTACGTGGACGAATATAGTGTCAGCTCGGCATTCGTCCAGAACCCCCGAGAATCCCGTCAACCCAGGAAAGAACGCAGCCAGTTTATTCGTCTTTTCGAAGCGATGGCAAAGGAGGGGGAAGCCATTTACAAACAAGAAATCGAGGAAAATGGGTCTTCGGCGAGCCGGAAGGAAAAACAACTTGTGTGTGAGACGATTACACCCAGGACAGCTACAGAGAGTGGACATGACGTAGACGACTACAACATTAGGATAGAAGCTTTTCTAAAATTTATGTCTTCAAAAGGTCCTGTGTACAAAGATACAGAACGTAAAGTTTCAAGCAGTGAGTTAAGAAAATCATCGTCTCTTAAGACAAACAAGACTCCCCCCGGAACACCAGGGAGCAAAAAGAAAGTTGTCCGTTTCGCGGACGCAATGGGTTTAGATCTGAATTTTGTGCGAAGCATTGGCAACGTTGACATCCCACCCAAAGTACCAGCGTCCGCTCTGGCCGACCTGCGTGTAGGACTGGAGGAGGACAGACGTGAAACAGGCAGCAGCTTTCTCACTGCCTGCTTTTCCCAGCCTGGAGCTGGAGATGACTTTAGGAAGAAGGCTCTTGCTCAAAAGGTGTGTTTGGAGAATGCTGTGATGGAAGGGGTGACGATCACTGGAGTAATCAGAGTGGCGAACATTGCCTTTGACAAAACGGTGCAGGTGCGCTACAGCACCGACAGGTGGACTACCTTTCACGACATAGCCGCATCTTATGTCCTGAACTCTTGCGATGGACCAACGGACAGATTCTCCTTCAGCATTGTGGCGCCTGCAGTCTTTGATGTAGGATTCAGGTTGGAATTCGCCATCGCCTATTCCACCAGCTGTACAGTGTTCTGGGACAACAATGGTGGCATGAACTATGCATTTGAATGTTTTGCAAAGACAGTCCCCACGGAAGCAGAGAATACGTGGATGTCTTTTTTGTAAGGGGTAAACAGCATTTGTTTCTGAATGTAGTTGAAGCGTGTCACTATACATTGATCGTTGTTAGATTCCCAGATGATGATCTGGGATCCCGTGGGTCTTAACAAGATATACGATTTAAGACCCTTTGCCACTTCGCGCTTTCCTCACCAGTTGCCTGACAAAATGGTAATGGGCAATCGGTTAAAACCCCGGCTCTATATGCAACGACATAGAAATAGTGTTGCTTTCAAATGGTCTGTGTACTACAAACATTTGTTTAAGGAGAGTGTTTATTTTCATTAAAAAAAACCCATTGAATTGACATACGCTTAATAAAACATTAAATCATTAGTGGTGTTATGGTTTATCCATCAATGTTTATCTAATTTCACTTTAAGCTCATCAAGGTTATGTCATGGCATGTTCGTCCAACGTTCCTTGTTTTTCGTAAACGTCTTTGCCTCAGATTCTTAAGGACAATGCAGCTGAGACGTGATTGATTTTGTTCGTCATAACCGTGATATTTTTGAAAATGATAATGCTTAGACAGTTCTGAACGTATAGGAATAGAGACTAGTATATTCATCAATTAGTAGCAAAGAATGCACAAACAAATATCAAACTGCAGTGTATGGAAACTTATAGTGATGTGGACACTATCGTTATGAAGATAATCGTTTTATCCTGAATATCCAGTCTGGGCATTTTGGAGGCTCTGTCATGAACTGACTGACTGAGTTTGGTTTTACGCCGCTTTTAGCAATATTGCAGCAACATCACGGCGGGGGACACCAGAAATGAGCTTCACACATTGTACCCATGTAGGGATTCGAACCCGGGTCCTCAGCGTGACGAGCTAACGTTTTAACCATTAGGCTACCCCACCGCCCCAGCAGCTCTGTCATGACCCGCATGAGTATTCTTTAGGTCCCAAGAGCTTTGCTGCCGGAATTTGAACCATCTTTTGCTCTGTGGATGGTGTAGCTGTGTGTAACCATGATAGTTGCACCAGTGTGTGACCACGATAGTTACAGCTGTCTGTATCCACGATAGTTGTATCTGTCTGTAACCACGATAGTTGCATCTGTGTGTAACCACGATAGTTGCATCTGTGTGTAACCACGGTTGTTGCATCTGTGTGTATCCACGGATGTTGCATCTGTGCGTAAGCAACGATTGTTACATCTCTGTGTATCAACGATAGTTGCATCTGTGTGATCACGATAGTTGCATCTGTGTGTAACCACGATAGTTGCAGCTGTGTGTGTCCACGGTAGTTACCTCTGTGTATCCACGATAGTTTCATCTGTGTGTATCCACGATAGTTGCATCTGTGTGTGATCACGATAGTTGCATCTGTGTGTAACCACGATAGTTGCAGATATGTGTGACCACGATAGTTGCAGATATGTGTGACCACGATAGTTGCATCTGTATGTAACCACGATAGTTGCATCTGTGTGTAACCACGATAGTTGCATCTGTGTGTATCCACGATAGTTGCATCTGTGTGTAACCAACGATAGTTGCATCTGTGTGTGACCACGATAGTTGCATCTGTGTGTATCCACGGATGTTGCATCTGTGTGTAACCACGATAGTTGCATCTGTGTGTTATCATGATAGTTGCATCTGTGTGTATCCACGATAGTTGCATCTGTGTGTAACCACGATATTTGCATCTGTGTCTAACCACGATAGTTGCATCTGTGTGTGATCCCGATAGTTGCATCTGTGTGTGACCACGATAGTTGCATCTGTGTGTGATCACGATAGTTGAAGCTGTGTGTAACCACGATAGTTGAAGCTGTGTGTATCCACGATAGTTGTATCTGTGTATCCACGATAGTTGCATCTGGTGTAACCACGATAGTTGCATCTGTGTGTGAACACGGTAGTTGCATCTGTGTGTATCCACGGATGTTGCATCTGTGTGTAACCACGATAGTTGCATCTGTGTGTTATCATGATAGTTGCATCTGTGTGTATCCACGATAGTTGCATCTGTGTGTAACCACGATATTTGCATCTGTGTCTAACCACGATAGTTGCATCTGTGTGTGATCCCGATAGTTGCATCTGTGTCTAACCACGATAGTTGCATCTGTGTGTGATCCCGATAGTTGCATCTGTGTGTGACCACGATAGTTGCATCTGTGTGTGATCACGATAGTTGAAGCTGTGTGTAACCACGATAGTTGAAGCTGTGTGTATCCACGATAGTTGTATCTGTGTATCCACGATAGTTGCATCTGGTGTAACCACGATAGTTGCATCTGTGTGTGAACACGGTAGTTGCATGTGTGTGTGACCACGACCGTCGGATATCTGCTTAACCACGGTAGTTGCAGCCGTGTGCGATTATGGTAGTTGCATCTTTGTGTGACCACGATAGTCGCATATCTGCGTAACCACGGTAGTTGCAGCCTTGTGTAACCACGATAGTTGCAGCAGTGTGTGACGACAGGGGTTAGTAGGTTTTCGTAAAAAGAAACTCTTTACACACATATAATCTTCAGTCCATCCGCGGGTTTATGGACCAAATAAACACTTACTGATCAAGCTTTAACAGGTGTTCCCCATCAATCCTCCAAAGAAACACTCTGGATGTTCAAATAAACTCCTACTTTGTGTGTTATACAACTGTTCATGTGCTATTATAACACACTAATCTATAACAGATAAAACCACAGTTCGATATATACATGAAACACTGGTTCTACGACCATTAAGAATAAAAATATGTGCAGCAACTAAAAAGTCAGAGAAACCTTTTTCATGTTGGTTTGTGCCGAAGTCAAAAACGTCCCTTTCTCGTAGAACGTTCACAGCCTCTAAAATGTTTTCCACATGTGCTATTGAAATCACCACATGCAACATCTCCGATCCATGAGAAGCACGTCGTGACGAGGTTAATTTTGACCATCTATTTCCATTATATCACCAGAATGTAGACGTTTTCTGCAATGCCGGTTAAGACCATGGTTAGGACAGAACCATCGTGAATGCACTGTTTTGTGAATGGATATCCTTCGCTGAGCCTTTCACATCAAACCATCCGCAGTCTGGAGCCTCCTGATCGGCATTCGGTATTGGTATTTCTTCAACCTCCGACAGGATAAGTGTTAACAGTATGATGTACGTCAATGTGTTCTGCACTTGGCTTTTAGCATGTAGTCGTCGTAAATTGTCATATTTGTCATTCATTTATTTCATACTTGGTATTACACCTTTTATATATGTTCAGACCATTCACCATTGAACCACAACTATTTCTCTGTCTTATTTTTACTGGAATATCTTGAAGTCTCTTCCTAATCCTTTAATTTCAAATGATAAAAACAAAACAAAAACAACCTGGCAGCAGCTATCTCTCTGGTTATAAAGTCCTCCCCTGCCTCTAGTTGCACATCGTCGTTACATGTATTCTCACAGTTTGATGTAGTGCTGAGTCTTTAGCGTTTTATACATCTGAACTTATCCAGCCACTTACATCTGCTTCAGTGTGTCACATAGATTATACCATTTCTGTGTGACTGGCCTGCACCGTCAGGTTGATATAGATACTACCTGTCAAGCATACCACATTATAATGACAACATGTCTCCGATAGTAACTGTACTGTTTCATCTGTATCACCTAGTGCTATCAGTTCATCAAAAGAATGTTCAGTTTACCTGGTTCAGTCCTTGTCAAAAGACGGACATCCCGAATACGTGGCTCAATATAAAGTCCTTTGTGAAGATATTCCTTTTATCAGTGTCCGGCTCGATTTGGCAAGGGTTCTTAAAAGCAACTGGAAGACATAGATGTTTCCTAAAATGTATTTCCATCTATGGAATACCTTCACATCAACCTAAACATCACTTTGCCCTCTTACCGTACATGGCATTGAATGGTAACTGGTCCCTTCAAGTGAAATTCTTTTTCCTCTACATTCTCAAAATAGTTACTGTCAAACGTTTTAGGTCAGTGTCTGGTTAACGTCACAGATGTATCACGAAATATGTTTACATGTATTGAATAGTTCTATTTGTACCCAATGGACCTAATTCTCAACTGCAACCAATGCGAACCTTGTAAACATGCGACATAGCAATGTTAAAATCTTGAGTAACGCATTTTTGTGATCATGAAGCTGAACCGTCTCGGTCGCCAGAACAGTCTCGGTTCACAGAAGAACAATCTTCTTTTTCCACAACGATCTCGCTGAGTCTACCGTCTTTGTTATCATAATAGGTTTTTGCACCACGTGTAGTTTACACTAAATGAAAATCACATGGCGTGACTCTATTCAGGTAAAAAGAACCAATGATTTCGTTTGCTACATGACTGGTAACATCATGACAAAGCAATGAAAAGCTGAACGGAGAGGATCAAACCACCGGCTCTTCAACGGGAACAGTCGGTATGTAATCATAGTTATCGCTTTATTAATTGCTGATGTTATGTTTTGATCCAATCTCAATTCCTTGGACAATCTATATATTTGAGAACGTTTGAGGTGTATCTGACTTCTTCTTTCAGTATTTTGCATACCAGTTTTTGTATTATCCGATGACCCGGCCCGATTTCCTTGGCCTGGTTTTAGGCATTCCCCTTTTATGGTTCAGTCGAGCATGGTCTTTATTATCAAGATTTCAAAGAGCGTCATACGAGTCTTGTGCGGTAGTAGTTCGATCAAGATTACAACGTTCAAGGTCTCCCTGAAAGGCTTTATGGTAGACATCTGGAAGAATATTCCAAATTTGCTGCATTAGTGTCCAAAATTATTTCCGATGCATCTTGAATCTTTAATTTATTATCAAGTACTGTCCTACGGTAGGGATAATTATATATTTTGCCCTCCACATGTTATGACTGTGAAACAACCGCACTGTGTGTGTAACAATAGTTGGCACAAATGCATGAACCATAACATGCCATTTACAGACACTATGATTTGAAGCCAACTGTTGACACTGTCGATAGAACCAAGACTTGTCTTCATATTATTCCGTCAACATCATAACATCTGCTTGCGGCTGACTTGTTTCTTTATAGCATATCAGATAACTTTAGTTTGGTTTACATGTGAAACAAGCAGAAATCTGAATCGGAGAGTTGAGTCACCTATCCGCAGTTTAAACCTTCCCTGAAGGTAATTCGCCAACATTGGATGTTTTAATCAATTGTTTCGCTTGAGAGTAATGGCGAAGTATTTCACTTCATGTATCCATACACACCATATATTTGCCACTATGCATTGACTATGTTTTAATCAGTACATTTTTATATTTCCAATAACAAAGTTGTCTGATCAGGAGAATGTTCAGCATTAAGTGATTAAATTTTGTATAATTGCATTTAAT